ATAGATAGATAGATAGATAGATAGATAGATAGATAGATAGATAGATAGATAGATAGATAGATAGATAGATATATAATATGTCCATACTTCGTCAACCAAAAGACACACAGAACATTGCAAAAATACACTTCACCAGAAAAGTATAGGATAAAAATGTTTTTAATACATGACTCACAGACTAAAATCAATGAGCATCTGTGTGTGTGTGTGTGTGTGTGTGTGTGTGTGTGTGTGGGTGTGTGTTTGTTTGTTTGTGTCTCTGTTTGTGTGTGTGTGTGTGTGTGCGTGTGAGTGTAAGTTAGGATATGTGTGTGTGTGTGTGTGTGTGTGTGTGTGTGTGTTTGTAAAGACGTGTGTGTATGTGTGTGTGTTTGCTTGTTCGTTTGTTACTATGTATGTGTGTGTGTGTGCTTGTATGTGCATGTGTGTAAATACTTTTTCTTATGTGTACATGTGTCAAACAAAACACTCCACATTTTGATAGTAACTTGTGTTATCGCTCCCGTCACACCAGCAAAATGTTAAACATCGTTTCTTTGGCTCCGAGGGTAAACCAGTTACCCTTTGCGCCCCGTCGTCTCACAGCCCATTTGTTCCAATAAGTAGGCCTACATACCTAATCCTATGATGAGTATACATAGTCAAAAATGATATTTCCATCACACGAAGGGCCATTGAGTGTCATGTGAAAATAATGTTCGTGCATTACAATGTTCACGGGTCAAAAATTGGATTAAAAGTAATATCATGTACGTAATGTGCATGTAATGTACTTCAGATGTGATACATAGATGGAGAAGTGCCTCTGTCTGGGAATCGAAAACCGACCAGTGTCGAAATAAAATATTGTACATTCCATACGTAAAATAAAGAAGAACCCCCCCCCCCCTTTTTTTTCCCTTTGTTTTTGGCTTACATAGTTTTTGATAGCCCGCACCAATGTTATCTAAATTTTGACGTCAAGCGTTATATTTTGAATCTGTCCCTATAACGTAGCTAAAAAAATATATATATAATGATGCGCACGGGACTAAATTAAGTACCCAATGTTTTCTCTTCGTCTTTGTTAATCAACACATGCACCATTTTAAATTTTAGCTGATTTACTGTATTATTAGTCCACCCATGAGTGAAAACCTCTTTCTCCC